CCCAGTAGACCCAGGAGACGTGTACTCCTATTCCCATTTCACAGAAGGGGAAACTGAGGCTCACAGAGGTCAAAGAACTTGCCCGAGGCCACACAGCTATAGCTGAAACGAATCTGAGGTTCAAACTTCAATCAGTCTGACTTTCTAGAAGTCACTTGTCTGGATTTTGCAACGAGCTCTGGTCCAGAAAAGGAGGAAAAGGCTTATGGGAAAGCATATGGGCTTTGCATATGCCGTTCCCTCTAAGCCAGACACTCTTCCCGCAGCCAACTCCTGCATCTACACGGAATACTTGTTGAATGAATGAAGGAAGGAATGAACGGATGAACGAGAGAACAAGGAAATACAGAGCTTGCTCTGGTGTATCTTTGCCAGGGCCGATGCGACAAAGCTCAGATGGGAGCCCCTCCTGGTGGGGTCCCCTCCAACCTTCAGCAGCACAGGATCACTTAAGACCCTCCCCCCACCCGTCCAGCCTCCGCTGAGTGGAGGGGTGCTTCTGTGCCCCTGGTGTCTTTTGTCTTCCAGATCCTTCTGGAGGAGAGAAGCCGTGTTTAGCTTTCTGAGCTGGAGGAACAGTGCAGCCGGCTCTGACTCGTTTAGGGTGCACAGAGCAAGGAGACGAGGCAGTCCGGTCAGGAGCGACAACTGGCTCTGGAATGAAATTGCGGCCCCCGCTTCTCCCCACTCCCCAGGGCACGGAGGGCTTCCCCAGGGGCGTCCTGACCGAGGGGCTTCTGAACTGGCGCGGAATGGGCAGTGTTTCCTTGCTCCCCGCTTCTGGGAGAGGGTGTGGGGCACATTTTTGTTCCCATTCAACGTTTCCTCCTTCTACAAGGGAGGGACATCCCAGATGGCAGTGACACAGACATTCAGTAACCCTGAGCCCCTCCACTCCTCCTCCGGGCCTTCTGGGCATGTGGAAGACAAGGTCCGGGCTTGGTGCTAACTTATCCTCGGTGCCTCACTGACACCCGTGCTGAGCTTCCTCTTGAACACACAGAAAAGCGCTTCCGCAGCTGATGTTTTCCAGCAAGTCCCCCATCAATGTTGTTTAGTCTTCCCTGATGTGTGTTTCCAGCTGCCTGCCTTATGTGACAGTGAGAGACACTTTTATTTTCAAATATATTGATTTGGGGGCGCCGGGGTGGCTCAGTCAGTTAAGCGTCCGACTTCCGCTCAGGTCATGATCTCGCGGTCCGTGGGTTCGAGCCCCGCGTCGGGCTCTGTGCTGACGGCTCAGAGCCTGGAGCCTGCTTTGGATTCTGTGTCTCTCTCTGTCTCTCTTCCGCTCACACTGTCTGTCCCTCTCTCTCAAAAATAAATAATCATTTGAAAAAATAACATAGATTGATTTTATTTTAAAAGCAAATAGTGGGGTGCCTGGGTGGCTCAGTCAGTTAAGCGTCCGACTTCCGCTCAGGTCATGATCTCGTGGTTTGTGGGTTCGAGCCCCGCGTCGGGCTCTGTGCTGACAGCTCAGGGCCTGGAGCCTGCTTCGGATTCTGTGTCTCCCTCCCCTCAGCTCCTCCCCTGCTCACATTCTGTCTCTCTCTCAAAAAAAAATAAAGATGAAAAAAAATAATAAAATAAATAAAAACAAATAGCGATTTGGATGACACATATATTATGTAGCAAAAACCTTGAAGTCAGATGGAGAATGGACACGCCATTCCCGATTGGCACACCGCAGCTGCCTGTGGGTCATCCTTCCCTCGGATAAAGAATACCAGAGTTGGAAAAGTTCTTCCCCTTCCATCCTTCCCTATCCTTTCCTTCTCTTTCCCTCCTTCCTTACTTCCCTCCTTTTCATCACCAACCTTTACTGGGACTGTGCTCTATGCCAAGCGAGATGTGAAGGATAGAGAGATGGACGGGACCGTCCTAGCCCTCAAGCTGCCCTGTGCCCCGGGCACACAACAGACAAGGCAGAGAACCACTGCCTCCCGGGACCTCAAGTGACTTAACACAGGCCAAGCGCTTAGAACAACATCTACAACTATCATTCTGGTGGCCGAGCTCTTAGCTGGCATCCAGTGTAAGCTGCCCATTCACAGAGGGGGGCCTGGAGGCTCCAGGAGAGACAGGGGTAAGCCCCATCACCCCTTCCGCCCTTCCTCCCCACACAGACACACCCCTGCACCAGAACCCCTGATCAGGGCTGAGTTCTTTGAAAGCAGACGCTGAGTTTTTTTATCCACTTTTGATCCTTCCCACAACACCCAGCACTGGGAACACGATGCCATAGGAAGCAGCTGTTTACGGGGTGAACATTCCATCTGGTCCTTCTCTCCACGGAGCACAGAAGAAAAGAACATGACAGGCAGACTTGGGTTCAAGTCCCGACACTGCTGATTAACTGTCTAGGAAATTTCTTCCCTCAGGTTTTCTCAGCTGGAAATGGAGAGACTGATCATACCTGCCTCCTAACGTCACGGGGAGGATGACAGTGACCATGTACGTGGAACACTGAGCATCGTGCCCCGCAAATGAGAAGTGTCCGATAAGCGTTATCTACTGTTAGGGAAAGGTCCAGTCCAAGTTGTTAATTAGTGATGAGTCCCTCCAGTGCTTCTCAAATGGGATTCCTCTCAGGGAGGCTTCTGCTTCTGGGGGAAACACACAGGCTCAGAGATCTTGGTACTTGGGACACAGCGGATCTGTCCACCTCCGAGGAAGACGGATACAAGGTCGGGCTTGGCCCCTCGCTATTCAGGAGTGAAGGCTCCTCCAGAGAAAGGTTACGCGTCCTCCTGCCTGATGCCCCCTTTCCCACCCTTCCTGGTGGCTTTCCGCCAGCTGAGACACGGTGTCTCCCCCGGACACTAGGGAAGCCAAGTATCACCCTGCAGGCTTCAGAAGCAGGGCTGGAGCAGAGCCAGAGGGAGGCAACGCATTTGAGTTACTGGAACCCCGCCTGACACGTTTACCTGTGTCCTTGTTCATGCAAGCGTCAGCTCCGTGACAGCGGTTTCTGTCTGCTGACTCCCCGGGGCCCGCAACAGCGTCGGCACAGAGTAGGTGCTCAATAAATGAGTGCCAGCTGAACGAACTGGGGGTTTCCAGGGTGGCCACGATTGGAAAGAGCAGGTGGAGTTTTACTAAGAATGTACCCTACTTCTGGAGCTCCTGTGTGCCAGGCACCTCCAAATGCGGAGCGTGTGGTTTTTTACAGGTAAGCATTCGTCCTTAGAACAAGGTAGACTCTTCCTGTCACCTCCACTTTGCAGATAAGGAAACTGAGGCTGCAGGTGTTAAGTGCTGGGGCTGGGATTCACACCTCAGCGTCTGGCTCTGAGCCCACTCCGGACCCCTTCACCATCTCCCCGGGCCACTGACACGAGACGTCTCAGGACTGCGGAATCCCAGAATCACAGACTTTTAGAATCCGACACCCGAGACCTCAGATCCATAGAGTCTCAGCGGTGCTCGGGAGGCTTGGAGGTCTCTGCCCCACCGTCCACAGCAGGAACCCTAGCAGAAACTAGGGTTTCTGCTTGATGGCACACTGTATTTTGCCTTACACACTTCCAGGAATGGGGATCTCATCACCTCACAAGGCAGCTCTGGTTGTCAATAAACAAAATTCCTAGGGGGCGCCTGGGTGGCTCAGTCGGTCAAGGGTCCGACTTCGGCTCAAGTCACGACCTCACGGTTCGTGAGTTCAAGCCCCGTGTGCTGACAGCTTGGAGCCTGGAGCCTGCTTCGGAATCTGTGTCTCCCTCTGTCTCTGCTCCTCCCGTTTGCACCCTGTCTCTCTCGCTCTCTCTCAAAAATTAACAAAACATCAAAAGAAAATGAAAAAAAAATAAGTGAGGATCCTAGAACTTTAAGGAGCCGCAGTGACCATTTAGTTCCATTCCTTTATTTATAGATGAGAAACTAAGTCTCAAGAAAGGAAACATCTATTGAAGGTGATACAGAGACCATGGGAAACCTAGGCCTGCAGTTCCCAGTCCCTGCAGACCTTTATGTAGGCCTGGGGACGTTCCCCGACTGGCCCTGGTCCCACCCTCCAGGGCCTCTTAGAGCAGCCCCGTCCTCCAGATCGCTTCTCCGGCCCAAATGTTCTATCATCCTGGTCTTGATGTCTTTGGTCAGCTTTGGTCATTTGTTAAAAACCCAACGTATAATCGATCCCTCCCCTGCTGGGATCACGCTAAGTTCTCAGGCCAAGGTTGGGCACACTCACTGCCCTGGAGAAGCCCACAGGATGTTACGGGAGTCCGCATGTGCAGGAGGCTGCCTGGGCCCCCACACTGTGGGTCTGCCCGGCCTCTGGCTGCTCCCCCTGTTCCCAGCCCCCCTCCCTCCTTGGACCTTGAGTGACACCTGTTTCTGGGTCCCCTGGGCCAATAAAAGCACTGCCCTGACAGCCAGGAAATTTTACAAGGAGCGGTCAGGCTTCAAGGTGATGGGAAGCAGCCGCGGCCGCCAGACGTGGGAATGAGAAAGCACCCAGGAATGTGCCCAGGAGAACAGCTGCAGGACGATCAGAGCGGGGGGAGGGAGGCCCGGAGACCAGGCCAGGCTCAGATATCACCCTGGAGAGGAGGGCAGAGAATGAGACAAGCTGGCTGCTGCCGCCTGCCCCCTTCCCCTCGGGGTCTCCCTCAAAGGCAGCCAAGGACCCCTCCCCCCGCTCCAGCAGTGGGGGTGGGGAGGGCGGAGGGAGGTACACAGGTTCCTGGAGCGTTTAAGTGCCAGTTGCTTCTAGATCTTGCCCCACGGCTTTCAGGTCCCCGGCTCTGAGGCAGCTTCTTCCTTCCGCATGGAAAGACCTTGGCTTTGGTACCTGCCAGGCCCGAGTTCCGGCCCAGCTCAGCCCCAGCCCAGCTCTGTCGCTTCTCCAGGCCTGCTGCTTCTGCACCTGCGGCCTGCCTGGAGGTGACCTGCCTGACAAGGTGGCCTGACATTCCGCCGGGTCATGCGTGAGGAGGGCTGGGGCAAGGTGGGCGCCTAGCAAAGCCGGGTTCCCCGCTGGAAGGGTCCAGTGAGCAGTCTGGGGTGGCCCTTCCCGCAGACCCGCCTCCCCCATTTATGAGGAAGACAGGCCGGGAACGCATTCCCCCAGGAGCTAGCCATCATGACCCTCTCTCACTTCCTCCCCGACCTGGGGAGAGGAGGCCATTCCCTCCCCCGCTGGGGCCAGGTGGCAGGTGAGGGCCTGCGAGCCCAGGCAGGTGCTGCTTTCGCCGCCCTCCCTTCCCCCAGCCCCGCCGATGAGGACCCACCCTCTTGAGGGTGTGGATGGGGGCGTCCGAGGTCTGCCCATCCTTCCTCTGATGCTTCCAACCCACCAGGAACAAGCCTGCCCGGTGTGCTCACATGCTTCCTGTGACGGGAAACTCATTACCTGTCCTAAGAAGCCGGGCCCTTCAGAAAATTTCCTCCTAATCACTTCCTCCCCTCATCAGAGATTTGGAGACTTTTGTGCTTCCTGAGCCCTGTCCTCTGGCTCATCTCGGAAGGGATGACTGCTCTCCAGCAGGACCTCACTGCAGCTCCTGGCTGCCCAGGGCTGCCCACCGCTGGCCCAGCCGGTCAGCCGACGCTTGCTGCCCGCTTAGTCTGCATCAAGTGCCAGGGGCATTCCTCGTCTACAAGGTCCCCGGACCACCTGCTGCAGAACCCCCTGGGGGCCCCCTAAACCCTGGGACCCCGGCCACACCTCCAACCCTCTCCGTTCCCACCTCTTCGATATGCCCGCCAACACCCGAGGCACCGCCTCACCTGGACACGCGCCTCCGTCAGCTTGGTCCTCTGCGCCAGCTCCTCGCGGGTGTAGATGTCCGGGTAGTGAGTCCTCTCGAAGGCCTTCTCCAGCTCTTCCAGCTGCTCGGCCGTGAATGTGGTCCGACTTCGACGCTGCTTGCGCTTCAGAGGGAGGTCGGGTTCCGACTCCACGTCCGAGCCCTCATCCAGCCGGTTCCCTGCAGGCAGGCGAGAGGGAGGGAGAGGGTGAGGGCCTAGTGAGACGGAGTAGCGCCACGTGCCCGCCTTCCGACCCCTGCCGCGCGGACAGCCAGACCCCTCCTGAGTACAAGGGCAAGTATGTTCCCCGCAGCTCTGCTCATCACGGTGAAGGGGGGGAAGCAACCTCCGTGCCCAACCCGAGGGGATTGGTTAAATACCTCCTGGCACAACGAAAAAAGAATTTTTTTTTTAATCCCCTATCGTTGGGTATTTAGGTTAGTTCCAATGACAGAGAAGGATGTCTATGACCAAAGACTCAGGGTAGTTTCGTGACGAAATACCTTTGCTGAAATTCCTAGAATGATACTCTCCAAAATGGGAGAAGTTGGCTGCGCGTTAGTGATACCTCCATACACCTGACTCTAAGAAAAAGGCGAGGCACCAACCGGCACGCAAAGACGGATCCCGCTTTCGGAAAAAGCGCGCATGACACATTCCGGAACACCGTGCTCAAAAGATTAACAAACGTTAACCTTCAGGGTGACGGAGCTTTTGTTTGTTTGTTTGTTTTTTCTTTACGCTTATAGTTAGTATTTTTAAAATGATGACCATTTAGGGGCGCCCGGGTGGCTCTGTCGGTGGAGCGTCCGACTTCGGCTCAGGTCATGATCTCGCGGTCGGTGAGTTCGAGCCCCTCGTCGGGCTCTGGGCTGACGGCTCGGAGCCTGGAGCCTGCTTCGGATTCTGTGTCTCCCTCTCTCTCTGCCCCTAACCCATTCGCATGCTGTCTCTGTCTCTCTCAAAAATAAATAAAATATAAATAAATAAGTAAATAAATAAACAAAATAAAATAAAATAATGACCATTTAAGCAGCAATGCTATTGTTTTCAAGGAAAATACTGCAAACACGAAAGGAGGAGGGCTAGGAGAAAGGGAGGGTGGGAGACAGAGCAAATGCACGTGCTTAGGGCTGGCAGTCAGGCAGCTTAGATTCCATACCTGGTTCTGCCCCTAAACGCCCAGAACCGTGACCCTAAGAAGGCTACCTTCCCTCCTTGGGCCTCAGTTTCCCCCATTTATAACATGAAGCGTTTGGACTAGGTGACTTCTGTACCCAGGCCCTTCCTGGGTTGCTTCAGGATCTCTGAGTAACCCTCCAGGCTGGAAGAGACCTTACCTGATGACCTTGGTCGTGACCATGGCCCCTACCTGAGAGTCCCCACTGATTTCCACCCAGGAGCCTGGGGATGGAGAAAAGCCTTTGCTTCCTGTGCAGAGAGAGCCCAGGAGTCTGCGGCCAGCTTACTTCTCATCCCTGGACAGGGCTATCAGGCCAGCAATGTGCCTACCCCAGGTCCCGGCTAGAGAGGTTGCAGGAAGGGGTTGATCAAGCTCCTTGGCCTCAGAGCTGAAGACACCCTGGGGACTGAACTGGCTTCCCGACTCCATCAGTCCTGTGCCTCTTACCCATCTTGGTCCAGCAGAGGGACTGCCAGCAAGGAGTGGCCTGGCCGGGGCTCCGGAGCTGCACCCTCCGTGGACCCTGGGGGACTATGGGGAGCACAGAGGAGGGCCAGGAGGAGACCAAGGAAGGGAGAGGGAAAGAGGAAGTAGGCGGTCAGTGGTGACCTTCCTCCCACTCCTGCTTTCTCTCTCTTTCTTCTTTTGCCTTCAGTGCTCCCTCCCCCTCGCCTAGCATCCCATTTTGGGAATTTCTGGAAGCACTTCATGTTTCGTCATCCACTCGGTCACCGGAGCGATAGTGCTGCGCCCGGGCTGGGGACACTGCGCTCACGGCGTTCAGCCGGAGTCAAGCAGGAAGAGCCTCAGAGATCATGTGAGCCCACTGCAGATGGGGGAAACTGAGTCACCGAGAAGCAGCGTGACCTGCCCAGAGTCTCTCAGGAAAGGGGCACACCGGCCTCCTGCTCTCCTGTTGCCCGCCCCCACGCTGTCCTTGCTCAACTGCTTTAAATGTCTGTTATCCGAATAGGGGTAGGCCTCGCCCACAAGGGACACCCTCCTTCTTTCCCCAAACACCGCATATGGCCTCTTAGATTTAGGTGAGGGGACAGGCATCTCAGGCCGCAGGAAGAGCACGTACAAAAGCCTGGCACGGCAAAGTGCACGATGGGCAACGTTGTCATGGGGCTCCATCCACAGCTGGGACGTCATCCGGTCTTGAGCAACGCTCCTCTGCCCCAGGTCCCCTCCCCTCCATCCTGCTCTTTGGCCATTGGGCAGTTGTCTGTGCTTTTGATTGGTCACTGCCAGGTTGCCTTTGATCGTGACGCCACAGGACAAGGGAACCAGTGGCAGGGAAGCCCTCCCTTCATTACTCATCCCTAAAGGCAGAGACCTGGGGTCAGATCTAACCCCCTCCTCTCTCCTTTCCCGGCTGCCCAGCTTCCCGTCACTGAGAGGAGGCTGTGGGGGCACAGTAGGCATCCTGGGGCACCTTCCCCAGCACAGCTGGGGCTCAGAGCCAAATACACCCAGTCCCAGGGATTCAATCCCAAAATGCACTGCATAACCCAGAGGGGCACGGGGAAGGGGGCCACGTGGACAGAGTGGACGTGAAGCACGTTCATTAGACACAGGCTGGATTTGGGGTGGGGGTGGGGGGGCAGCCTCCTGGCCAGCAGCAGCTCCCGCCCTCTCCCCCCACACAGCTGTGAGATGGAAAGGTCCCGAAGGGGGTGGGACAGAGCCGGTACAGGTGTGGGGATAGCCCCAAGACAGAGGGATATGGCGACGGGCCTTCTCTCTGGGTTCCTGGTTTCTGCTCAGGGACGTGGGGAGTCCAATTCCGAGCAGGGAAGAAACAGCCCCACCTCCCAATCTTCTGGGGGAAAAACAGCCTCTGTCTTAGGAAGCTCCCAATCTGATGGAGGAGGTACCATCCCTATTCTGGGAATTTCTCAGTCTACTGAAGGAAACCCTGCTTCCGTAGGAACTGGGGCCAGGACAGGCACAGAACACAAGACAGCGACAGGACTTGAAAGAGCCTCAGAGCCCCCTGAGAACAGAATGAATGAGGGACAGGAAGGGTGACAGGAGCCATCTGGTTTGTCAAAGCTTAAGGGTGGGCAGGACTGAGGTCCGCTCAGGACAGAGGCCAGCCTAGGCGAGGTGGATGGACGTGGGTAGAGAGTCACTGGGGAGCATCTTCCACGGCTTCTCCTTCAGCCTCTGCCTCTCCTTCCAAGCTTGCCATCTCCCACGGCGGATGACTCCAGAAGCCTCAGCAAGGCCAGTGAGGCGCCCTCCCCCAAGCCCCCCACTGTCAGCCCTGCCCACGTGCTCAGGCCCACCCTGTCACTCCACGAGGTTCCCTGGCCAGCTCTTGGCACCCTTAAATGGCCAAGCCGGGGCCGTCTCAGACCTCCATGCCTTTGACTTTGACCGTGAGCTTCCTCTACCTGGAACACCACACCCCCTTCCACTGGGCTCGCTCCTGCTTACCCAGCACAACGCAATTCACGAGTAGCCTCCCCTGCTCCCTGAGCATGTCCAGGCTGGTCTGCACGCCCACTCTCGGGCTCTCAAAGCTCATCAGGGGACACCCAACCTGCCTGTCTATGGGTCTCTCGGTCGGACTGGACTGGGAGATCCCTGCGTGGAGCAGAGCCTACACCTGGGACACAGCAGGTGCTCAATAAGGGCGTCTTAGACGAACAGGGCCTGGCAGTACAATTACAAAGTTCCTTTGGCCCCCGACACACGGCAGCGGTCACCACCCTACGTGTGTGTGCCACACCCTACGGTTTCCAAGCTCTTGTCACTGTCCCCACTCCAGACTCTCCCAATAACCGTGGAGGGCCCAGCAGGCAGTATCAGCCCCATTTTCAGATGGTCAGTGGAGCCCAGGGGCAGGGAGGCTGCAAAGAAAACCCAGGACTCGGGACTCGCAGCCTAGCGAGACCCAGCTTTGCAACAGAGAACTCCCAGGCGATGGAGAATTCCATTTCTGAGCGCGAGAGCCAACGCGGCTTGCTCTCCACCCTCACCCCGAAACATTCCCTGCTGTCCCTTCTGCCAGAGGAAAAGACGGGAAATGAGATGGTCACGACTGCTACACCTACCGACTTTCTCAGGAGGCAGGAGGGGAGCTGACCGTCTGCAGGTCCCTGTCATCTAGATTCGAGGAAGCCAGCAGTGGCCTTGAGGTCGGGGGTCCTTCTCTCAGCTCCCCCGACCCCCTCCCCCGACCCAGAGACGC